CATGAGACCACCAGCCTTGTTGTACGCTCTTGTAAGGGCGGCCTTTACCTGCAAAAGGGACACAGTCAATTTTGATGAACACCTTCAAATTATAACGAGACTGACCCAAGAACTTCACCTTGCTATCAACACCAGCCATTGGATCAGCTTGATTTGGCCACTTTATTTTTATTATTTCTATTAACTTTTATGTTATTATTATTATTATCATTATTTCTATTGTTTCTCTTCCCTTCTCTTTCCCATGTTGTACACCTTAGACCCACCCCTTCCCCTCTCCCAAACCATCATGTTACCTCTCCCTGGTAAGCTTGAGTCAGAGGTGCCATGAATCATCTATGAAAGTGTGTCTGCCTGTTTATAATTTAGTCCTTGTTTTTCTTTCTTTCTTTATTTTTCCCCTTTTGCTTGATGGATGTGTGTGTGTGTGATTGGTGTTGTCTTAGTTATGACTTCAGATTGTTACAATTGTTTCAAAATTTGTACCACCTTGTTTGCTTTGCATTGGAACTTAAAAAATATTTCTAAAATACGTTAAGTGTAGCCCATGTATTGTTTTCTTGGTTGTGTCAGTCATAAAATCGTAGTGTTGTGCAACTTCAATTATCTTTGGTCAGTTAAATGGCTTTTCTTAAATGAAACGTTACTTTTTGCTATGATTGTTCAGTTACTCTAAAGATTATTATTTCCCAGGGACAAAAATATAAAATATGTTTGTGTTGTCATTTTTTTGACATTTTATTTAATGACTTATTGTGAGTGTATTGTTATCGTTATTTTATTGTTTAATGTTGATTTTTAATAGACCTAATCGAGAAATATTCACTCTTTGGTTGAATATCAAAATCAACTGGTATGCGTTTCTATTTTTCCACATCCAGAAATAATTTACCTACTTTAAGCCCTTAGTACAAAAGCTTTTATCAATACCCATATGCTGAAAGTCCACTGTAGCAATTTGATTTATTCGTGTTATGATTGTTTGGAGTTATTATTGAACACAGGCATGATGGCTTCAGTATTTTATTTTAGATGCTTTGCAGAACAGTTACTGTTTTCTGTCTTTCTCTCTTTGTTTAATGTTTATGGAGAGAAAGCCTTTAAAGTGTGTGTGTAAGTTACCATTTTGTCGACTGCCATATGAAGTGTTGTTAGCAACACCACTGGCTGTGATTTCTGTGTGTGCATGATGATAGAATACCAATTTTTGTAGTATTTCTAGTTCTACTTTGTTGAAATATTACAGGCTTTAGATGTGAAACTAAAGCCCTCTCTATTGGAAACTCATGGATGCCACATACTGAATAGTAAAAAAATATTTATGAACATATGTAGTTTTACAAAATGGGTACATCAAATTGAATCATCCCTGTTGTGTGTACTTGCTTGGAAATAAATTTATGATATTCCGGTGTATTTTACAAGAAACTTATTGTTCTTGAATACCCCCTTTCTCCTACTGTCAACTTATAAAGGCACTTTCAAAAGGAGATAGTTAAGTCTTTTGAGTAGGGGTACATTGCTGAATGATGTAGTTAACAAATGTGGAGTATAAATGGATAGTTGAAGCAATACACTCTGTAGTGCCAAGAGCATGGTATCACTCACATGATGTTGACATTGTTAATGAGTAAATAATGCATGGGTCAGACACTTAACATATTCGTAAATTTTGCCTTTGCTTGTGCTAACAGGTGCATTTTGGTACAACATATATTTTAGAATACAATCAAGATGACTGAGCTTATCAGAACCAATCACAATTTCCCTCTTATTTCTTAGTTCTAACCACTAATCTTTCATGACATCATTTCATTCACCCACTAACACTTAATTTTTGTTCCAGATAAGCGGTATCACCTTCTTGCCTCCATCCCACCAAGTCTTTTCTTTATTAGTTCATTCGCAATGATGCTTGTGTCGGAATTGTGATACATTTCAAAGTGCACGGGCTATTTTCTCTTAGCATGTATAAGATTTTATACATATGCCATTGCTGCCACCGTACTGCTAGTGAGATCTCACTCATGTGATATTTGTATTTGTTTAATATTAAGTATTTATTATAGTTATTGTTGTGTGTTTAATACATTCCGGGGTTCTAGAAATAAATGTTGCAAGACATTTAGAAAATATTTTGTAATTATTTTATCCACTTCATAATATTAATATAAGTAGGTTACAAGTCATCAGCGGTCTCATCACAGGAAATAGTTAACTTTACAAGGGAACACATGCCTCCATCACAGGCTACACGGAGGAACCTAAACGGTGTTTTAATACTTACTTCTTCCCTCTCCCCCTTCCCCTTCCTCTGGGTTGGCCACTGCCCCTGGCACCTCCCCGAGACCCACGACTTGAAGAAGCTTGGCTTGAGGATGATGAGCTCGCACTTGCAGCTTTCTTCTCAGGCTTTTTCGCCTGTAAAACAATCATTTTCAGTTTAACAACCAATAATCATGATGTTAAACAAGTCAAAATCAATTACCAACCTTTATCATCCCATCTGCAGCATCATCATCATCGCTTTTATCATCGTCACTCTCTCCCTCCTCCTCCTCCTCCTCACCCCCATACCCTTCCTCCACAGCGGCAGAGGCTTTCTTCTTCTTGACTGGGACATCTAATGCATACGGTATCATGAGACCACCAGCCTTGTTGTACGCTCTTGTAAGGGCGGCCTTTACCTGCAAAAGGGACACAGTCAATTTTGATGAACACCTTCAAATTATAACGAGACTGACCCAAGAACTTCACCTTGCTATCAACACCAGCCATTGGATCAGCTTGATTTGGCCACTTGCACACTTCCAACAAACTGTCCAGGTCGTCTCTTGTGATGAAATAATCTTGCATTGCTTGCATAGTTTTGGGCACACCTTGAGACCCCTCTGCGATAAGTGGGCGGATAATTGCATTTAAAATTGGCTGAATGTAGTCTAGATTTACTGCCTGCTTGCCACCAGAAATGCTGGAATAAAGTAAATACAATCATTAATTTCACTTCTATACTTTAATTACATCAAGGAGCTGCAGCACTGGAGCACAGTTTGAGCAAGTATAGACAAACTGTTTCCTTCTGAAGTTAACTTGCCTGAGTCTCATATGCACTTGCAGTTCTTGAAGCATTCTGCTCATTTTAAGTCCTCTAGAATTTTTACCCAACCATGAAGGAAATTGAATCTGACCAGTGAAATGGCCCTCCATCCAGTCACCAGGAACAACACTTGAAAAGATGGACTACAAGAAAAAGGGGGAAAACATTAAACAATCCAACTAGAGAGGATAATTAGCCAGCACGCAACAATGTTACAAATACCTGAACAGGTAAAAGGCTCCAAGAATTCTTGCTGCGAATTGTTTTTTCTATCAAATCACCATAACTGATACTTGCGGCAGCTCGTGCAATGTGATGTAAAGAATCTGTTCTCTTCCTGGAAAAAGTTATCAGAACACACCTCATGATAATGATGAAAACAGAAACTAAAAATGAACAAAAAGCAAACAGCTGGAACAAAAACAAACTTAGCAGCATGAGGGGATGAGATTAAATAATTTTCTTGAACGAAAAGTGGCAGCAAGCTGTAGTCATGGAAGAATAGATCTGATTTGTCCATCAAGCTCATTGTTTTATGATCTTCTGAGGAAAATATTTTTTTTACTGCATCCCATGGGCCCTTGATTAGAAGAAAGGGAGATGAAAAACAATTTGGAATTGGTGGAAATTGTGCAGAATTGAGACTTGAAACACGTCAACTTACCAGTTTTATATTCTTTTTAGCAGCATTAGCATCTGTTTTCACTTGTTCAGTATTCATCTTTTTTTCTGTAGAACTCCACATGGATAAATTGTTCAAAACTTGACGAATATCACAATTTGTTCCAGATATTACTTCATCTAAAGCCTGAGGTGATATTTGAACTTTTTCCTTAAAGCAAACTGACATCATGGCACCCTGGAAAAATTGCAATAGTTGAAAAATACAACAGCACTTGTGAACAAAAATTGACAATCTTTAAAACACCTTACCCTTATTTGTTCCACGCGAGGTTTATGGAAACGTAAATCAAAGCAGTACCCAGCCAAACTTCTTATTTTAGTATGATTGCGGTCATTACACATACATATCACAGGACACTTAGAATTCTTGATAAGGCTGATGAGTTCACCAACACCCCCTCTATCTTCATTACCAGCCATACCATCAACTTCATCCATCACAAGAACGTGCTTTGCTGATGTTTTTGATTCTCCCCCAGCTAAAAGCAAATATGATTTCAGAATACACCTAATACTGGAACTTTTAATTTCAATGAAAACACCAGCATCACTTCTACTAAACACCAAGAGTACACCTACATTGAAAAAATGGCAGAAGAGACTTGCTTGATAGCAGTTCGCCCACTTCTTTTGACATAAGCTTTTGAGAACGGGTATCAGATGCATTGAACTCTACCACATCCATACCCAATTCTTTACATACAAGATGAGCAGCAGTTGTCTTACCTATGATAAGAGAATGAAAAAATAATTGAAAGCACCTTGTTAAACACTAAAACAAAGAGGTACAATATTTAAAACACTTGCCAATGCCAGGAGGGCCAGACAGCAAAGCAGCTTTGAAAAATGCTCCATTGTCATCCTTAGCCCATGGACCTTGAAAATAAAAATAAACCTAGCAATAAAAAGTATTCAAATCATGTTTTTCAAAAAAAGGGCAAGACAGAGTCACCTACTTGGACGAACAAGCTTCTTATTTACACCTGTTCCATGATTGGAATGCCATGAAGACAACCAGCGTAACAACTTTTTCACATTGCTATTATCTCCTTGTTGTCCGATTATTTGTTTAACCGACGTTGGTTTGTACTTGTCAACCCACATATATGAAGGAGGTGAAGGTTCTAGCTTCGGTCTAGTATCATTTGCTTTTTCATTTGCTTTCTCTGATTTAATTTCAACTTTCACAGAAGGCTTTTCTAATTTCTGCTGGTTTTTATCCTTTGATGATCCTATTTCCTTAGCTTGAACTGTAAGAGCACTTTCAATCTTTTCCAGTTTTAATTTCTTCGGGCTACTCTCCTTAATGCTAGATTTGGATGTTGAAGCTGACTCCATAGTTGTATGCTTGACGTTTTTTTCAGCCTCTCCCTGCACAGCTTTTTTAACAGGACTCTTTGAAGTTTCTGAAGGCCTTTTCATTGGTGGACTGGAGTCTTTTCCGGGGGGGCTCGGTGAAATAGAGGTTGTTTTAGATGTTTCTTTCGGAGCAGGCTTTGAAACAGTTTCATCGAAGAGATCATCACTAGCCCAAGCAGACTCATCCAGATCTTGCAAAACTTTGTCAAACTCAGAATCATTATGTAATTCAGAGACCTATGATTGAGTCAAACATGTAAAATTACATCATTACACTACACAAAACATTACTACTTTTAAAAATTGGGGACTCACTTTTGAAGTGGATGGTCGATTTGTTCTTTTGACTGTGTCAGAGCCAAATACATCTGCAGCATTTACAGTTTTCTTTTCAATTTTGGATTCTTTCTTTGCTGAAATTTGAAATGAATATCAGCAATGATAAATCGTAGCACATAGTGGATGATTCGAAGGATTGTTTATGTAATAGATTGTGTAAATGTATAGACCTGCAGCTGGAGAAGTTTTCTTCTTTTTCGGTTCAAATATTTCTATGTCTTCATCAGAATCTGACTCAATAACTGCCCTCTTCTTCTTATTACTAGACCTGGTAGGTTCTTTTGAATTTTTCTTATCTGATTCATTGGACTTTTTCTTTGATGACTGAACAGAAAAGAATGACCGGATATCCTGTGTCAAAGAAAGAACATCAACATGAAACATAAACAAAGACTTTCTGTTCCGAGTATTCCACTGTCAAATAATTGAAAGTTACTTAAAGCTACAAAGTTACATTCAATAATTGAGAGTCAGTAACACATTTAATTACCTTTGACATAATTAGGCACTAGTCTGATGACAAATGGCTTGAATGGCAAGAAACGCTGTTGAAAGAACACCAACAGAGAATCAGGATCACTCAAAAATAAAAGAACCACAATTATTTCTGGGTAGAAATTTTTTAACTCAAAGGAAATAAGATTTTTTCCAAGTCTGCTGTAATTAAATGCCAATGCAGTAACCAAAGAAACGGGCTAAGTTCTGAGGCCAGCTGAGGCAGGCTGAGCTGAGCCCCTCTCCACACGCTAATCCAAGTCAAACTAAAAGACTTTCTTTAATTGGTCGAAACAGCGACATCATTTAGTATCTACGTAAACACAGGTTTTATGCTGACGCTTAACACGAAATAACTGGATATAAAAGTAAAGCTTTACCTTCTTCAGGTAAACCTGCGACCTTTCAAACTTTTGACCCGAACTTAACCAAACAATAACATGGTACATACTTTACCGCCTAGCACTCATACAAACATTCCAACGATAAATACATCAAAGAGCTGAAGAAAGGGTGATAAGAATGCTTTCAAAAATAGTGGAAATAAGCGAAATCAGTTTTTAAAAGTTTACTAACGCTATTTTTTCTTGTATTCTCGTAGAAAGAAGATATCTTTTCTTCATTGTACAGCTCTTGGCAAGCATGAATTTCGACGTTTGACCTTATTTTCGCATTCTCACAAGGCGCAATCCACGAGACACGACATTTATGAAGGAAGCAGCCATTTTATTTCGTGAAATTTCACACACCCATTTATTTATCAAACTATGTCCAAAGAACAATGTAGATCGGAGTTAGTGTCATTAGTTCACGTACATAGTTTGCTGTCAACGTCGTCAATACTTTGGTGTGGTGAACTTGTAATGAGGACTCTTGGTTGTTAAGTAAGGCTGAGGATTAATTTCTACGTCCGATGTACCTTTCTTCTCTTGACAGTTAAAACAAGAGACACCACCGTGAAAATGAAGAAATTATTCTCAAGAATTGAAACAAAAATTGATAACACTTCTAAAGAACCCAGTAACTATGTCGGTAAAGTGTTCACAGTCGGCAAACAACCCTATACAGTTGAAGAAGTAATAGCAGAAGGTGAGTGAGTGATTGAACTGTCATGTGTTATGGAAAGTTGTCAAACTCTTCTACCAAAATGTTGTGTCAGTAAAAACGTAAACGAAGCTGTCAACTTAAATTTCACACGTTTATATTATCCCAGCGATAGCCATCCATAGCTGACAATGTACAACCATGATTCTGCCTTCCTTTCCATTCACCCTCTGCAGAAATTTGTCACATCTGCTTCCAATTTTTATTTTTTTTATTGTATGTTTCAAGACATAGATCTTGTTTTAAAATGTAGCTTTCATTTCTTGTGACATTGTTGATGCATGTTTCTATGTAGTCTTTATTTTTTTGTAGCGTGTTCAGTAGTTTCATCACTGTCCCACTTCTTGATAATTTTCACTTAAAAACCATTTTATCTAACAAAAATTTAACATTTTCTTCACACTTATGTACCATGGCTCTACTGTCCATGTAGTATATTTTTCACATTAATTTTGAAATTGTACTTTTATTTTTAACAGGTGGGTTTGCTGTTGTTTTTCTTGTGAAGGGAAGTAATGGAAAACGATATGCATTAAAACGGATGTATGTCAATAATGACTTTGACCTTAACGTGGCTAAAAGAGAGATTCAAATTGCTGTGAGTATATTTCTCTTGGAATAGTTGGTTAGTAGCTGCTAGTAGTTAACTCTGATTGCAATCCTGTTTTCCTTTCAGAGCAACTTAAGTGGTCACAAAAACATAATAGGATATGTTGATGCAAGTATCACACCAACTAGCAATGGAGTCTATGAAGTATTGCTTCTCATGTCTCACTGTAAAAGTGATGTTCTGCAAATGATGAATGCAAGGTATAACGGTATAACACTTTTAATTTTCTCTATGATGTGTCCATAATTCTAAATTTCATCCCTTCCGTGTTTTATAGATTACAGACTGGATTCTCAGAGGTAGAAGTACTCCAAATTTTTTGTGACATGGTTGAAGCCGTCTCAAGGCTTCATTTCTGTCAAACTCCAATATCTCATAGAGATCTTAAGGTTGGATAATTTTTCCCAATTTAAGTCTTATGAATCTCTTAAAGGATATTTACTAATGCTGTAAGGGACTTGCATTACAGGTGGAAAACATCTTAGTCAGTGAAAGTGGTCATTATGTGTTGTGTGATTTTGGCTCTGCAACAGCTAAAGTTTTGAACCCAGAAACTCAAGGTGTACCAGCTGTTGAAGAGGAGTTACTCAAATACACTACGCTGTCTTATAGGTCACCTGAAATGGTTGACTTGTACAGTGGTCAACCAATTGGAACAAAAGCTGATATTTGGGTCAGTAGCCTTGCCACCTTTTTCACACTTTGAGTCAGAGACCATCCATATGAAGGTTTTTGTTTACATTTGAAAATGGCCTTTGCGCCTAGGACTGACCCACATTAGTGTGTTTTTGTACTAATGTGTGGAAGGGTGTTGTGCGATTTGCCTTCTTATTACTCTGAATATTCTCTCTATATACTGAAATGAAATGTTTTATGTATGTAGGCCCTTGGCTGTCTCCTGTACAAACTGTGCTTCTTTTCATTACCATTCGGTGAAAGCACACTTGCTATTCAAAGTGGAAACTTTTCTATACCGGACAATTCAAAGTATTCCAAGAGCATGCACAGTCTTATTCGTAAGTACCCTGCTAATGAAATTTGAAATTTCATTGATTTAAAACAATATATTCTTGAAATTTTAATTAACATACCTGTGTGTAGGTTTCATGCTTGAGCCAGATCAAGAAAAGAGACCTGATATTTTTCAAGTAGCATCTGTTGCCTTTGCTTTATCAGGAAAAGACTGTCCTGTTCAAAACTTACACGTAAGCCTTGTATATCCTTGGCATACTTCCTAACATGTGATTTCTATCCATTTAAAAAACAAACCAAATTGATCTTATGCTTGTAATATTTTGCAGAAAGTGGCTGTCCCATCTTTGGAACAGTTGCCCTCAGCGCAAATGGAAAGTGAAATCAAGAAAGTTCCTGTAAAAATCTTAAAACAAACTGTTCCTCCTGTAGTTGAAGGCACAAGTGTTGCTCCAAGACAGAGGCCAAAAGGAGGTCCTGCCAAAGGAGGTGTCCTTTCAATTCCTATACGGTCCTCACCAACACCAACTACTACCAAACGACCTGCAGCCCCTTCACCATCACCTGCTTCTGGCGATCATTCAAATGTGTTCCTTAGTCCACTGCCCCCACCTCCTACCCCTCAGTCAAATCGTGAATCTCAGATTGGTAAGACACCAGAACCCAGTCCTCATCTTCCCGTGCCAGCACAAGTATTTTTTCCACCTACATCACCTTGCCATTCCGCCTCCATTGTTGAAACATCTGCCACTACCCCAACTTCTCAAACCCCTGTTACCCCCAGCGGAGTCCCACCCACCTCAAATTCAAACAGCAAGGAGGGGATTGGTCCTGAAACAGTCCTTTTCCCACCATCAGGTATGGATGAAGGAGAGATCTAACCAAGTGTAGTTTAGGGCTCATTAAGATCTTTAAAATATTGTCCTTTGTTGTTAAAGGATATCCTGATCCATTTCATGAAGGGGATAACACAATTGCTGGCTTTCCCATGGCTTCCAGTGTGACTGCACTGGCCACATGTGGAAAGTTGGAGACTTCTGCATCTCAAAGTATGGAAATGTTAAGTCCTCCAGGCTCTCCATCAGGCAGTAGTTCACGTGTTCATAGGCGGAATGTCAGTGACACCTCTGCATTTAACAAGTACGTTTGTGTTTTGTTGAGTTTATATAGGAGAAATACCTACCTTCAGTTACATCATTTATTCTTTCAGAGTATTTGTCAACGACACCAGTCAGTTTTTAGCTCCTTATCAAGCATCGGTGAAATCTCGTGAAACAGAGTCGCCTGAAAATGCAGAAACCTTCAACGCTGGAAGTGGACAAGCAACAGCAGTAGTTTGTAATGCTGATCAGAAACCACCGGGTGTTTCTGCTTCTCATGTAAGTTCATCTCTTTTCAATGTCAATGTCAACATATCTATCAATTTAATCATATCATATGTGATTACTTATTTTTCTCAGAATGAACTATCTAAAGTTTCAAGCTTACCAGGGAGTGATAGAGTTGGTCATTCCTTGCCAGAAGAAGTAGCAGATTGGAACCCCTTCCATGAACGTTCTAAACCTGAAAATCTGTCCGAAGATCAATTCTTTGGTGCTGAATTTGACAAAATTCGTAGAGGTTCTCAGAGCAGTAAGTTGAAGGCATTGATACACTTCAATTCAAAATCTACTTCTTACTGTCAAAAACTGTAAATTTTGACCTCATGATTATCTATTTTTAGGTATTTCAAATGTGAAAAGCAGAGAAAGCTTAGTAATGACCTCAGACACTGCAGAAGATCCATTTAGTTCAGCTCCATTCAGCTTGCCAAGTAAGCAGATTGTACTTATCCTATTATCGACTTTGATATTATTTTGAAGCATAAAACCATTTTCTCTAATCTTTTTGATTACTTTTAGGTTCAAGACAAAATAGCTGTAAGGAGAAGAGCTCATCTAGGAAGTCATCAAATGGAGGTAAAGATTGAAATGCAGTACATACAATAGCTTTGTTGAAATATGTGGTTGCTAGGTTGAAAGAGATCCTACTACACTTTCTAAGCACCAATGAGGCACTTGGCTTTTGGGATCTGCTCTGTGTATGTTGCTGGTGCACTTGATATTGAAACTAACTTGGTTAACAGTCCTTTCTTTCTCCTCTTGAGAAATTTTCCGTTTCATTCTTCCTCTGTCATTCCCTAGGTGCTGTAGATAAAAGTGTTCTTTTCCTTTCCAAATCAAAGGTAATGAACAATTGTGTTCTGGACCCTAGAGACTTCTGATCACTAACCAAATAAGTGCATCTGCTTCTCTCTCTTCTGGTTCTGTCCTTAAGTGTGTGTTACCTACAAGTTTATTGTGTGCTTGTTACCAGCCACCATAATACCATTTAGTACAGATCTAAGATCGACTTTTCTGCTATATGTTAAGAATCACAGCAAATTATGATTCACTAGTAATACTTCTGTTTGAAGCATATTTTACATCTTCAAACAAACTTTGACAAACAACTATAAAAAACAAACAAAAAAAGTCATACATTACTTTTTTTTCCTATTAAATTGCAAGCGTGCATTGGATGAGAGTTCTTGCCTTCAGTCTTAAGAAGGTTCCATCTCTAAACAAATTCCTCTTTTTAGATCAGTAAGTAAATTGGTTACATGAGGGAAGTTAACAAGCTCAAATCAGCCTAAGAACCTGACATGCCATGAGCTATTAGTCACACAAAGCTAGTATTATATTATGAAATGAATGAATGGGAAGTGCAAGATCCCAGTTTTTCAACAAATACCTTTTGCGCTTTAAACTTAAAGACAATCCTACTCTCAGTTGCTCTCACAATTTATTTTAGCGAGAGTTTCTCTTCCATTCATTACAATGGGAATGTTTGCTTAAAAGTAATTAAAAGAATATTGTTTATTTGGTTGCAAAGCAAAACAAGGCAGTCAAGACTATCTTATTTGCTACATTTTTTTTCTTTTTGGAGAGTGTTTTGCAGATGCTGAGCCAAACAATATCCTTATCCTACCAAGCTAGTGAATGGGGAGATAAGTGCTATGTCAGCTACTTGTGATTTGTCAATAAATTTGTAGCAATAATCGGATATTACTGTGTAACTCATGACTATAATGAAACTTCTGTAAATTACCATTACACTCGATTGAGCTTTATCTTTCAATGTTAGTGCTCAAAAAATGAAAGATTGTATTTTGTCAAAGTTACCAATGTTAAGGCAAGGTATTCTGGTTGGTTTTGTCTCAGAAGTACTATCAGAGCAAAAGCCATAGCCACTTGCTTGCTGGTTTCACTTCTTTAACTTATCACAAACATTGAGTTTGTGCTAATCTAGTCTCTTGTGGCTGTGTGGTGCGGTCTGTGATCCAATTGCCTTTTATTTTTTTAATTTGTTGATTTCTTTTTTCACTTAACTCCATATAATTCCTGCTACTCATTCTGTTAAATCTATTCCTTTTGCAATACTCCTCAAGTCCACCAATGAAACTGAAACCTCCCTTTGTTATGTGTTACTGTTTTTGAGTGACAGGGGTAGGCAAGTTGTGGGGATAATAGCAATGTAGTGGTGGTACATGGTATTTTAATTATTTTCTTTTTAACAAGTTATATCATTTTACTCTATCGTTTATTATATTTTAATGAATTAAATAATAGGGTTATTGTCCCAGTATTCTATTAAAAGATTATTGCTTTCATATTTGGCATGTCTGAAGACATGTGTACCAGAATATTGTGTTGCCTTCAACCCAAAAGTGGACTTTGAATTCTATCGACATGGTAGGCATGTAAATCAATAGCTGGTTAATAAATAAACACCTGTTTTGCACATGAATTTAAACCAGTATTTTTATTAAGTGGTCGAAAGTAGGCCTTAAATTGTCTTTTCATAAGTTTTCATGAATCCATTTTTCAGATTATATTATTTTAATAGATAGTGAGTGAAAAATGGGAACATTTTGCTGTTCAAAGCATCTATAATACCTTGAACTATACTCCCCATTTCTTGAAATACTTGCCCAGTTTTGTTTTGTTCATATTTAGTCATAAGTCTTTTTTGCAAAAGGACATATTTTAGAAGTTCTCAGTGTTGTCAATGAATGATTGTATATGTATGTATTTGGAATTTTGTTCAGGGCTGATATATATCTATCTATCTATCTAAGATTCTAGTAAAATTTAATCGAATGCAAATTTTATATTTTATAATTAAAGGATTCTATGTGAAGTGGAGTGCACAAGTAAAAAACTAAAGATGTGTTTTATTTAAAAAAGGACACAAACTACTTAATATCCATAGTGTTACTGATGTTTTGGGAAGAAAAGTGTCAAGAAAAGTCTCAAGAGAGACATTTTAACTGTTAATATGTTGCTCAAGAAAAGAGCATTCTATTTTTCATGATTAAGACGATACATTTATTTAATTCTATTCCCTTTGTCATCTGTAATATTCAGAAAGAATTATGTATAATGTGCGTTTTATGTTAGCGTGCCGCCTACTATGGAACCTCTTCTTAAAGCATCCAATGTAATTCTGCTGCTGATCAGTATTTGAAAGAAAGCCTGTGAGATTTTTCTGAAATTACTGGCCTGAAATTACCTTCCAGGGGTAGAAACACGTGAGAATTGCTCTATACAGATACCCTAATAATATCTTGTTTTGAGATTTTCTAGTGGCTTCTTTTGAGAATTTTCTACTACATACTTGGAACTCTTTTGTTCAGCCGTTCATTAACTTCTATTTGATATCAACCAGTTTTAAGTTCTGATACATATGTTTTCCATTATTATGTACTAGCTGTAGGATTCTTGTAATTATTACAGGTTAAGTACGTGTGTTTTGGGTCAGAGGGATGGTTTGCTATTCTATACATGTGTTTCCACTCAAGGCTGTGTAACTGGAGAAATCGGCTGTGAGAAAGCTCATGCGGGGCATAGAAAATTCTTTCTATAGCCTCAGAAACAGAAAAAGGAGATGCCGCCTTGTTGTCGTAAGCTGAGATTCTTGGAATAATGAATGATAAATTTTGTTGTCAGAGTTTTTGTAGCACTTAAATAATTTTAAAGCTCTGTGTAGCTTCCTGAAAAGACATGTTTTCTTAAGGTAAAAGTGTAGTGTGATTCAAATTGATTGAGTAGTGTTGCTCATGATATAAACAAAATTATATCTTTACTTTACTGTAGGTGTTAAACAAAACAACATGAGACACAGTTATGACTATCACAATTTTGTTTTATCATTTCCTTGACTCATGAAGTCTTTTGTACATGAATAGTGGAGCATTATTGTTTTCTTTTTTCTTTTCTTTTTCTCCCTGATGTTTGCAACTGTGACATCTTGTGCCAACATGCTGATAAGTAGCTTAATGCATACTCATTCTCTTGAGTAAGTAGTTGTAAAACAATGTTTTTGAACTTTATGGTTTGATAAACACTATTCTTGTGAATGTGATTTTCAGGGAACAAGGTAGGCTTGGCTTGTACAAATTTGCTTTAAGTCTTACACAAGCTTGGTGCTTCTCTGCTTTATTACCATTTTTATGTTTAGTCTATTGTGGTAACTAAAATTTTTTTAAAGCAATCATGACATTATTGCCTAGAACATTACAAATTTACTTTGGCCTATTATTGGTGAACTGGTCATCAAACTACCAGGTTTTAATTTTCTCAATGAGTTATGATTTATACGTACAGTACTGTTTACTTAGAGTCCTATAATAAATCCAATGGATGTGCAAGAATTGAATGTGCACCTATCTCAAGTGTGCAACTGTTACCAGAAGTTTGCATCCAAGTAACAAGAATGCTTTAGCACCTGACCTAATATGCACCTACGAAAGCATGTGCTCAACTAGTAAATTTTGTTTCTATGCTGACTGTCTAGTTTGCGCTGTAATTAATATCTTAAATCTGACAATACTTTCACCAATTAATAATTGTTGAGGGATAGTTTAGGATACACGTTAGGTATCTCTTTCTCCTCTTCTCAAAAAAATGAAGTAAAGAGTCACAAACATCTGTTTTGCTTCTGTCAAGGAAAACAGACTTAAGTTGTGTATATCAATCAATATGCAATGAGAACATTGTGAGCTATGGTTAGCTCTTATTGTGTTATCCATATGTCAACTAAACAGGGAAGTGGATGTTATCTTCAGCTTTGCATTATTTGGTGTGTAAGGCTGTGTTTGGTGGCAGTAATAAAGAACCAATTGCCAAATATCATATCAATGTGTTGGTTTCTTCTTCTCTTTCACTCTTCTGTCATGGAGCTTTCCACCTTGCATGTTTCTCTTTAGTTTATTTTATTTTTATTATTTTCCCTCGCTCTTGTGTGCAAAGAAATTAGATTAGTTCTACCAAAGCATCAAAGTATTTTTGCACTTGATTTGCCAAATAGTAATTGCAGGATAAATTTGCATTTGTGCCAAACATCTACTGCGAAAAGACCTGCTCAGGAGCCTACATGGAGTAGAAATTTAGTATCATTAAATGGAGCTGACAAGCGATTTAAGCTTCCAATCTAGGATATAATCATAAAGCATGTTTTCAGTCCCTCAAAATCTAAGCTGAGCTTTCAAAGAAAGTGCAATTACGAGATGTTCTGTCTTTCAAGGTGTAAGAGGTGTCAGAATATGTTTTATTACTTGCTGTACTCTCAAATTGTAGGATATCTGTGAGTACTGCCTTAAAAAAATCTTAAGCTGATCGTAGGGCAATTTCAGACTATACCTGACTGATTAAGGAAAAAAGAAGAAAAGAGAAAAAAAATTCTCTAGGGTCTCTGCTAATTTCTCAACTTCAGACAGTTTATTTTCTCTGGATGAGGACTCATGAAAAGCTCAACTTGCCTTTTCTAAGTGGACACAGAAATTAAAACCTTTCACATAAGACACAATTTTATTGCTGTACACCATGGCAAAACAAATTTTGAATCATATTGGAAAGTAAACTTTTAACATCCTTCAATTTTCATGTCCGAATATTCTGCTGCTGTTCTGGAACAATTACAAAGGTAAAGAGGCTTTTAATATTTGTTTCATATTTTTCTTATTTTTATTCCGACTGTAATTGAAAGAAAAACTTTCTACAATTTCAAATTTAATTACATTTACCTCATTCTTCTCCCTATGCAATTTTGATAAATGGTAATTGATATTCAATTTCTTTTATATGTAACTGAAGTATTTACCTCCAATTTGCACTTGACTGTCTTGTCTTGAAACTTCCTTCGTCAATGACTTTTTCTCTCCTTCCCTTTGTCTCACTCAAACACATACAAGTACATCCACATGTTAAAACCGTTTTTCACGTCAGTACTATCAATAATTTATTTATGGCACCTTCTGGACTACTAAAACTAATCAATGGAAATAATTTATCAAGAAGATAACTATTGGTTTAAGGCTGTACAGACTAGTAAATACACAGTGGTATTCCCTTGGGAAATCCCTACAATATTTCTGTTTTTGTAATCCCAAAACTTCTTTATTTTCTCTTAAAAATATATGTTTTTTAAATGAGCTGTAAAACTTGTTGTGGAAAGTTGACTTCTTTAAACAGAAAAGACATCTGTTGCTTATAAAAATCTCCTTTTTTGTTGCAGAATCTCGAACGAGTAGAAAAGAATGGAAAGAAATCACCTCAGAGACATTTCAACCCGATAAACCATCTTGTGAGGACACATGTGTCAACAGTCTTCATCTATCACCACCCTTTGTAAGGGCACCAGCTGAAGATCGATCAAAGTATGAAAAGTTAACTTACGACATTGCTGATAATTCTTCAGATGATAGTGACTCATCAAACTCCCACCAAGAAATGCAAGGTAGAATCCATGAAATTATTATTAATTCTGCATGTTATTTAAATTATGTATGCCATGATAACTATCTATCTCAAAAATGCCTTTCAGATGATTCCAAAATTCAAAAGGAGGTAAAACAGGTACAGAATAATTTTAGAAGAAGAGGAACTACTCCTCTCCAATCAAGGATTGTCAAAGACGTCAGCAACACAAATGTTTATCTTTCTGATGATTCTATTGGATCAGCAAGTGATTTACGTAACAACACCAACGATGAGCGAGAAGAGTATGAATCTGAAGGAGAATCTGATGAGAAAACAACTCGTAAATTAAGTAATCTGTCTCGGCACTCTCGCACATGTAGCTTTAATGAGCTCCGAAGTATCAACACATGTGGCTCGTCAGCATATCATGCTGAGTGTGATAGTGCGTCAACCCATGACGAGAACAATTCAACACCAACCTTAAGTCGACGGAAAAAAGAAAAGACTGTTCATTGCTCTGCTCCAAACAATGAAGAGGAGAGTGATCTCCTCTTTGTTGGCCACCAGTACGGGGAAAAACCTCTGTTAGCAGATGATGAATTGGACTCTTCTGAGGGTGATTTTTCCAGTAACTGTGAGTCACCAACATTAGAGTCTCCAAACAAATCATCTAAAAAATGTTGGAGTGGGCAATCAAGTGTGGATGTTTTTGCTCTTGCACCATTTCCTGCTGTAATATCCAAAGAAAATTTGAAGTTAGTTGAACAGCCACCAACTGTGAAAGAAGGATCATTAGTAGATTTAGGTGACGCAACAGGAACAATTAAAGACCATCTTGTTAAGTCCTTGCAGAACAATTTGCGAGAGAGCTCACCTATAACTACTGAGGGTGATAAAAGTCAGGTCCAAGCTGACTTATTTGGTTCCCCTCCGTTTCATAGTCACTCTGCAGAAAATCTGTTTCGTGAGGTAATTTCTACTACCAAGCCAAATAATTGTGCATCTTTGTCACCCTCAAGTCAAACACAAAAAATTGGCGTATCCTCCATTGTATTAAAAGTGGTTGAAAACACAAGTCCTAAACTTCATGAATCAAGATCAGTAGATATTGTGTCATGTTGCGGGCCATCTCAGCCAGATTCTTTCTTCACACAATTCAAAGGCATTAACTGCCCAACATATTCTGGTGAGGGCTCCAATCATAGGGCAAGAATGTCTGCCAAGGCAGATCTGTTTGGAGCTACTCCTTTTGCCTGTGAGGTGAAAACATCACCCCAAGTAAGCTGTTCCAGCTCACTAAGTCTTAGTCACAGTTCTCATGATGCGGCACAATCATGGCACTTACAATCTCCAAAAGATACAACATGTGTACCATGTGCAGTATTGCATTGTCAGACAGAAACTGATCCTTCTTTACCAAAAAAAGATTGGTATGACAAAGAAGGGAAGGAAGGAAAGTACCATTTAATTGATGGAGCTCGTTTGCCTGGGAAGCCAAATATTTTGCCTGTGAAGAACAGTCAAAAAAATAAAGGGACGTCATCGTCTTCAAATAAAAAGTCAAAGTCAAGTAAGAAAACACCAGAAAAAATTGGCGGCTTTCAAAACATGAGTTTTGAAGATTTTTCAAGTGATGACCCTGGAGAGATGCCATCAGAGGTCAGAAACCAGTTTGAAGTTCAAAGACATGACTCGAGCAGGTCAGCTGACTTGGAAAGAAAAGGTTCGTTAAAACGCCGAAGTAATCCATTTTCCTGAGCCAGGTTACTGAATTACAACTTGAGATAACAAGAAAGTACATGGAAAGTAAGCATCAAAGACATTCTATTTTAAAGGTATTTTTAAGAGAGCTAAGTTTTTGATGATGTTGGTGTTTTGTAGATCTGGTGAATATCTGTGTATCTGCAGCTTTCTATGAGCAACATAACTGTGATGATAAGTGACTTTGTTACCTGATGTACACAATTAAAGCCTTGTGTATCTTGGTGTTAGACCCTCTTCAAATACTTACATGCATTTCCAGTTTGCTACAGCAGCTGACACTATATTAACAAAACGAAGCATGAGAAACTAAATTTGGAGAGAAATATATAGGGTACAGCTATTTTATTAAAAAGTATTTTTTAAACAAACTACTGAGTTAGCTACAACGGCGTGGATATCCGTAGAACCTTAAGATAGTAATGAAATTATTTTTTGTCACAAATGAATGAATTTTTAATTGGTGTACACTTTCTCAACTATTCGTAATTTATTGTCATAAATCTATGTAACTTTTTGTATCTATGTGGCCCAAGTACCACAGAAAATCACATTGAGTTGGATGCAAAGGTTTGCCCAAAATTGGAACTTTTAATTGGACTTTTAATGTCATTTTGACCATTTGTTGCTTTTATGATTAATTACCAGAGTAATTTTTATCTGATGTTTTGTCTTTCTTATTAAGTTATGGTATATCAATTGGGTCATTCTTAATCATGGGAAAGGTTGTGAAAATGTTAAATATTGTAAAGGAATGTGAATTAGGACTAACACAAATTATTAGACTAGTCTCATGGCATACCATGGCTTTTAGAAATCCAGACCAATAGACTTTTAGGAGTTTCCCATGTCATATGTTACAGTCTGCAAGGTCTGCATTGTATTCAAAATATGGTCTCATTCCAGAGGTGTCAGCTTTTTCTTGCCATTCCAATTGTTTGGTGTCTGATTATGCTGTCTGTAATAATGCTGGGGGAAAAGGTGCTTAAAACTTTTGTATCTAAGTAATTTAATGGTGCTTAGAAACATTACATCCACATGCATACTGTTGTGTTCTCAAGTGAATTAATTTGGCTGAAAATAAGTGATCAGCATTTATGTTTGACTAATTACAGTTTAATGCCTGCAGTTGCATTGATGTGTTTGTTTATTTTTCCAGTGATAAAAAAAAAGGGGTGTAATTTTTCAATAGATTAGTTTTTACAACTCACCTGTACTTTATTTTACGGCCAATGAACGTTTGTTATCAACTATATAGGGTCAGGTCAGGTAATAAACGCACAAGACTCTATATTAATTTGGTTTGAGAAGATGTGGACTCATTCTCCAACCTTGCTATTTCATTAGATGGTATCTATCATCCTACTCTACACCAAGTGCGCTTTTTATAACAATCCAAACAATATCTTCTGTTTCAACATTTATGTTTGAGGTTTTTCAAACATAAAAACCGTTGGTGCTATATACAAACCAATTTATTTATTTATATGTTCACTTTGTGCCTTTAGTACCCAACCTGAGCCTATAGAACATTGCACAGAAATTAATGTGATTCTATGTATAGGCCTTAGTAATCGCAAAGGTATGAGTTTATGGATGTGTTCACTAACATGTGAGCACCTTATAAATGCTGAAAGTGTTCTTGAATTGGCATTTAGTTATTGTGAGTAGCTCATGCAGCTCCACTTAAGATGGCATTTACCAAATAGAAGCAAAAGTAGTCATTTAAGTGAGTCTACTAGTTCTGAATGTAAAATATTTAATGGTTTCTGTTGTTTGTTAATAAATATTTTCATGAATAAATTAAGCAATAGAAAATTATTATCACAACTTTACCAGTTCTTATTGCAAGATGTCTAGCCCCAATCCTCAACATGGACATTTGACAGATTAAATGTGCTCCAAGGTTGAAGTGACGGTGGTAGGTCACTACCCCAATCTTGAAGTACCGGTGGTAGATTTGATGACCAAGCCTTTGAAACTGCCTGTAACGCTGGTTTGGCTGGTTTCAATGCTTCTCCTTCCTGCTTAGTCTTCCATGCTAGTAGCCATTCATCTACCTTCTCTGAACTGGACATCTTTGATAAGGCCACATCAATTAATTGTGGTGTACAGGAACTGTTGCGTCTTAAATCCTCGGCATGGGCTGGAAAATGAAGGATCGATTTAGGCAAAATTACAAGTGAATTTGTAGTCAGGACGAAGTAAACAATTGATCTTGGATTGTGCTCCTGAAGTTTTGACACACCTTGCTGACGTAGGATCTCAAGCTCATGAGGTTTGTAATGAGAATATTTACAATTTTCAGCGAATGGGCAAAAGTTTTGTGTTATCAGTTTTCTACAAGGGTCCTTGGTCGTCTCCTCCTCGTACACTTCTTTAGCAGCTAAAACATCAGAATTGTAATTGACGAATAGAAGAAAAAAATTTCATCGATAAATTATTGAAAACAGATGTAAACTTTAAAATCAGAAATTTGAACTTACTTCTGAAAGGTAAATAATACTGTTTTTTCAAACGAGCATGCTGTGTACTGGACAAGTGCTTTTTCCTCGCTTTCAAATCATCTAAAAATGAACGATCACAGTATTCACAATAATATCGTATTTTACCCATTGTTCATGCGTTCAACAGTATTTATTATTAAAAATAACACTAATGCTATGGTACTGCTTATGTCACTTTTCTTTCTAACCCTACTTTCAAAGCAAAACAATGTTTAAATTTCTCATTGTTTTTCTTGTGTTTAGAGTTTAAGAAATCACACAGGCTGTGAGTGTGGTTGTGTGGTAGTGTCGTTGGGGTTATGTTTTCTAGTGTCTGTAATGTCATAAACAGGTGTTGGCGGATTTAAGTAAACTAAAATAAAATGACGACAGGAGCAAGACCGCCAGCTTTGACTTTTAAGGTGATCGGTAGCTGTTCAACTACTAAAGCTCGTGTTGGTGTCATGAGTTTACCTCACCAAGATGTTGACACACCAGTTTTCATGCCAGTAGGAACTAAGGTAAACAAGGACAATTTATTTGGTCACATAGCTTTTGAATAAATATGTCTTTCAACCATTAACATGTGATATTATTTTCGCCCAGGGTACAATTAAGGGTCTACTACCGCAACAACTTGAAGCACTGAACTGTCAAATTATTCTTGGAAATACATATCACTTGGGAACAAAACCTGTGAGTAAATCTTTTATCTCTCACCGCCTGATCTGCTCTCTCTTTGATCGCTAATATAATTTTGAATTTTGTGCTTTGCAGGGTGTTGAAATTCTGAAGAAGGCCGGCGGTCTCCATAAATTCATGAATTGGCCACGAGCTCTTCTCACAGATTCAGGCGGGTTTCAAATGGTGTCATTACTAGAACTTGCAGAAATAACAGAAGATGGTGTGAATTTCAAATCGCCTTATGATGGTAAGCCGTCCTGTTAATAATATCATAAATATTTTTTAATTTTTTTAATGCTTTTAATTTCTTATTTTAGGTTCAGAATGTATGCTCACCCCAGAGCACTCTACTGAGATTCAGAACGCAATTGGGGCTGATATCATGATGCAGCTTGATGACGTTGTCCATTCCACGACTACTGGTCCGCGAGTTGAAGAAGCAATGCATCGGTAGAGATCTAGAGCCCGAAGGGCACAATCTAAGGCAGGGTTGATTAATCAACATATTAACAACCCTAGCACAGCTGCTGTGCAACTTTTTAAATATTCATTTTAAAAATTTTATCCACCTAGTCACCCAAGTTTTTTCTTGATAGGACAACAAGGTGGCTGGATCGCTGCTTGGGAGCTCATTCCCGGAATGATGATCAAACTATATTTCCTATTGTTCAGGGTGGTCTAGACCCAGACCTAAGAAAACAAAGTGCACTTCAGCATATTGAACGTAATTCTAGGGGATTTGCTATTGGAGGATTAAGGTAAGGAAATTATGCTAATTAGTTTTGTTATTAATGATACTGAACTCTATACCAACAGTTGTGAATACCTTTTTCAGTGGTGGAGAAAGTAAGGATGACTTTTGGAAAATGGTTCATTTGTCCACTGATCTTCTACCCAAAGACAAACCACGTTACTGCATGGGTGTTGGGTTTGCTGAAGATTTAGTGGTTTGTTGTGCTCTTGGAGTTGATATGTATGACTGTGTTTTCCCAACAAGAACAGCTGTGAGTATCTGTCTACTATATCTATCTATTATCTAGTGCCTATCAATAAAGGTTGGTAAATTTATAGACGAATGAGTCAACATTTCTGTTTCCAGCGCTTTGGCTGTGCTTTGATTGATGAAGGTCAGATAAACCTCAAAAATGTGACTTTTGAGACTGATTGTAGACCTATTGACTCTGAGTGTAGGTGCACAACTTGTAAAAGATATACGAGGGCCTACTTGCATTCCATTGTGACTACTGAGACTGTTGCATGTCAGCTTGTGAGTGTGCACAACATTGCATACCAGGTGAGAATCATTTTAGATAAACAATTACAGACTTTCTAGTGGTAACACTTTCATTTCTGAAGCTTTCAGAACCTATTCAAAGACTATGTCATCTTCACTTTCAGATGCGTTTAATGCAAAGAATACGTTCATCTATTTTGGAAGACACCTATCCAAACTTTGTGAGAAGCTTTATGAAACGCAAGTATACTGATGGAAACTACCCTCAGTGGATTGTAGATGCACTTAATGCTGTTGGTGTTAAACTAGAGTAAGTTACCTAACAGTCTCTCGGACCTACTGTACTTAATTTTGCACCAGGGGAGAGGGTGGGCTGAGCTGTTAATGTTTGTAACAGGGTACAAGATCACTTGCTTGACAGCCGACAATAAAAAAAAATGTGTTCCTCGATAGTATGGTCTCAGTCGGTCATAGTCAAAAATTTTCACTGCTCACATTTGTTATTGTTAAGTTAAGAGAGTATTTGTAAAATTCAAGGGCAAAATGACAAGAAAGGCAGATTTTAATGTTTTCCGAATTAGTGATTCGAAACGGATTGAGTTGTTAATTGACTCCATCCTGCATTTGAGCGCGGGCTCTTCGTGTGGCGGGGCGGTATATTTTTGCACAGTAAATAAAAATAAAAATTGATCATCTGCTACAAACAAATAATAATTCCTCTTTATCAACACCCCTCGACCCATTCCTGAACGGCCTGCATTTTGTCTGTGTGTGTGGGGGGGGGGGGAGATGACAAGTGGGCACGAGGTCGTCGGGACACGCACTCTGCTTCGTCGCGGACACTCTGCCCCCGGGGGCCGCCGAGCCGTAGGCGGAGGGGGGCCTGGGGCTTCTTGGAGGAGAGGGGGAGGTGGTCGCAGTGCTCGCGGCGGTCCCTCCCGGTCCCTCCCCCTGACCTCGCGGTTGGCCGCGGCGGAGGGTCCACCTCCTGCTCGGACTGGCGCCCGGCCTCGTTCGGCTGCCCCGGCGCCTTGGACCGCTCCCAGAGCCTCGCCCGAACGGAGTGCGTCGGGTCCGGGAACCACCAACGGGAACAGCGCGGCGAATTCGAAGTCGATCGAAAACATCTCGCAGTCAGAGATATATGGGAGCGCGCGCAATTCGAACTCTCGCGAGACGGGCGCGGAAAACTGCCCCGACGATTGTCAGCGAAATGAGAGCCCAACGTTCACGCAACACAACGTACTGAACATTATTGGTGGTGCTGTTTTTCGGGGGG